AGTATCTCACTTATATTGAAAAGTTGTAAGAATATTGAAATGGTTGTGACTTTGCATGTGAGAGGAGCATCATGTGGTTAATTTGACATGATTCACTTTATAATGTTAGTAGGGTACTGATATGAAAAAGTCTCACTTTTGACAGCCTTTTGCACCTACTGTCAACAGAAAGATCTTGTTTATATTATTACAAAAAAACTGAATCATTTAAGGTGTCTGGTTGCAGAGCCAAGCTTTGTTACTTCTTTCGTTTCCTTTACTGACACATTTTGTGAACATTTTTTTGATGTAAATATGTCTATACAGAAGGGTCATTCGGCAAAAAACATAACGAAGATGTGTAATGAAGTTGGGTAAGATCCACATCAACAATGTGTGAATATGGACTGACAACAAAGGTCAGCTTTTATATGAACTCCTGCGTGCATTGTTATGTTACCTAAGAAACTAATTGTTACGTCATATGTTTACTCGGCATTGTTGTGTTACATTACTGCTGTCAACAATCTGCTTTCGTTATTGCGGAAGGAGCTGAGCTATGAATCGCTTGTAGAAGAAGTGTGTCGTAGACTAGATAATTTTGTGCTGTTAAAAACGTTTTAGAATATCACAAGTACTTATCTTATATAAGAATTATTACATTACAGAGACGTATTTACGTCAGATTCTCCGGAACTGTGGTTCCACTGTCAACTTTTATTGATGATATGTTACTTTTAAATTTTGTCATATTTGAATATTTGCTGAACATTAAAATATAATAGTTACCATAGACTACTGCATTGTTGTCTTGTGAAGTTACACATTTATGCCACTTCCTGCCTTCCAGCCAGTAACTGCCAAACTTTAGCTGAGGCTATCAATTAGTCTTTATGTAAGTAACACACCCACTCATGCACACACAGATATAGTTACATACTCACACAATCTCTTGTACTCTCTGTTTTTTAAACACTTTGAGACTTGTACAGAGAAGTTTTCTGTGGCTAATTTCTAATATATCTTCTTGATCCAAAAAGTTTAATAATTTTTGCTACTGCTTATTTTGAAATGACAGTTTTTTTGTGCTAGACATCTCAGTGACTGTCATGGCAAATGTTCTAGTGTAGGCTGTTTTTTGTCCACTTTCTCTTTAGTAAGTGCACTGTGTTTTTAATGGGTATTCTCCCCAAAGTAACTGAGTAAGACTGACTTATTAATTTTATGAATGCCTATTATGCTTGGATTGCGAGCCCTGGAAACTTATGAAAAAACTTTCTGTTACACTTTCTAGTGGAACCACATATTGTCTTGCATTTTAAATACAGTATATAAAAATTTAACTTGCACTCATCAAATTTGGTATTAATTACAACTGGTGAATGAAACCAATGAATTATTTACATATGGCCAAAATGTTTCCATACAACACACATATGTATATATGTGTGTGTGTGTATATATATATATCAGAAATTACAGTTACTAAATATTTTTCAAAAAGTATTGTTGTTGTGATGTGGCAATTGAATTTCTTATTTAATTGAATAAAAATTTCCTTGGATATTATCCATTGTCTAGTAAATGTAAAACGACGTTTCGGAGATGGGACTCTATCTCCGTCTTCAGGTTCCTACACAGTCCCATCTCCGAAACGTCGTTTTACGTTTTATATTTACTAGACGATGGATAATATCCAAGGAAATTTTTATTCAATTGACTCTTCACCATTGTCAAGAAGTTTTAGATTTGATATTCTTATTTAATGTTAAGATTTTGGCAAATTTCTTAATTGTTGACTTCATATAAACTCTTATGTAAATTCTCTTGCTTTTTTGAATGTTTATGTTGTGTTGATAGGAGTTATTGAGTCATGTGTTGCATAGTATTGGGATCTGGCAGAATTTATACCATTTTCTCTGTGTAATGCATGACATTTTAGAACATGCAAAATGTGAACTCTGTGTAGTTATTAAAAGTAAAAAAAGTGAGAAAATACTTTACATGAAGATGGTATTGTGTTTGATATTTGCAGATATTTTAACTTGAAAGTCTCTATTGCCCTGAAGTAGGAAGTCTTTATAAAATGTATGAGAAGACTTTCAAATTCGAAGCCCACTTCTGTCTTCCACCCCACTCCACCAAAGTACTAAACCTACCTCAGAAACCTGCCAAACATGTCACAGAGTTTGGTTTTATGCTTACTGGAACTCTGGAAATAGTATTATTTTATATAGTATTCTTAATATTGTTGATTTTGAACCTACATTTGTCTCAGAATTGGTTTTGTTGGAGTAATAAGGAGTAGGGATGATTTAGCATTGTTCAGTAAGAAAAAAGTAATGATGGGAAATTTACTGAGGGGAGTTTTTTATGTACCTGTAAACTAAGTTTGTTCCAATGTTTGTATGTACTTGAAATTAGTAATTTGTTCTAGGTAATCCTGGTTCCCTCATGAATTTACTGGACCCTGGAATAGGCAAGGATATAAATACTAAGAAACACAAATTCTTAAAGGTAACTTCTGTATCTCCTGAGGTAAATGATAGAAGTCCAAAGATAGATGTTGAAGGTGTTCATAACATTTCTGAAGCACATGCTACACAAGATAATGTTGTAAACATGTTGCATACCACATATAACCAAACAAGTGAAGTAACGCAGCAATCTGATATACACGGTCATGTTACAGAACAGCCACATATCTCAAATAATAATAAATATGATTATACATCTTCAGAAGGTGATATACAAGATACTGTTATAAAACAAGCAGATAAGAAAAAAACATCACATGATGCACCACACCAGGGTTCTGGAAGTGGAATGCCATATGGTGCAAACCAGGTTTATGTCAAAAATACTAAAGCCCCCCCTGGTGCAACAGGCCAAGCTTCAGGAGGTGCTGTGGCAAACTTTATAAAACAGGCAAATCCCACAAATATGAACATCCCATCTGATGATGCAAAACACCAATATTCAGGAAATGGAGTGCCAGATGGTACAAAACAGGAAAATACCACAAATAGAAACAACTCCTCTGCTAAGGGTGCAACTAACCAAGCTTCTGGAGGTGGTGTGCCAAAAGTTGGAAAACAGACACTCACCACAGATAGGAGCAACTCATCTGATGATAAAGTACCCCAAAGTCCAGGAGGTGATGCAAAAGAAGTTACAAAAGAAGCACATCTCACAAATGAGATAACCCTGTCTGATGATGCAAAACACAATAAAGAGAAAAATAAAAAACCAGGAGCTGGAAAACATGAAGACAGCTCAGGAATAGCATTCTCAGCTGATTCAAAAAGCAATAGATCTGAACAGAACTCAGCTGATGATGATACTGTGTACTTAGAAAAACAAAACGATGATGGTAATGAAGATTCTGTTGTGCCCACTAAAATGAACACTCTAGGTTCAGATATGATTGATCATGATGATGTTGATCAAGATGACAGTATAAATGCAGATATTCCAGGTGAGTGTTAAAACATATTGCTTATAATAAGAATAAATCTTTGTAGGGTATTTTTTGCATGCTTATGCAATAATGTATAATGGTAAATATTGATTCAGAACTTCAATTTGTGACACTGAATTTTTAAAGTGTACCAAGCTCTGGTAATCAGTGAAGTAATAGTTCTAACCCTTTAAAGCCTAATGGTAACTATATGTTACTAACAGGTAGCAATTCTACATTTTGCCCACAAAACACGTTTATCAGTTTCTTATAAATGTCAGTATAGATAGCTGTTCATTTCTGTAAACATCATTTCCTTTGACTATTTTATTCTTGTAATGGTTATGGATAATGTTCTCTTTGAAGTAAGGACTGAATGTTTAAATATTAATAAGATGATCTGTGGCTTCAGAGGGCTAAGGAAAGGGAAATTGATGTATGGTCTCAGGAGTGTTGTCCAGGTTGTGTATTTTCATAACAGAAGTTATTAATAATAAACTCAACACATACCCTTTTCTGCCATTAAAGTGGAGTTCTTTTCACAGCATCGTAACAGGAGACTTGTTTGTAATGAATATATATTTTGTGTTAAGTCTAATCTAAACTATGTCAATAGTGATGGTATTTTGTATTTGTTAAATACTGTTTTAAGAATTCTGTATTGTTTTTGTTTGTACTCCACAGACCAAAGGGTGAGCTAAAACTGGTAATGGTATATAAAGTGCACAGTGGAGTGGACTATCCCTTGGGGAAACTGTGTGCTATGTGATCTGTATGTATTTTGGTGCTATAAATTATTTGGCAAGATAAAGTGATCATAATTTTTTCTTTTTCCCCCAGGTACTTCTTCTGGCAAAGAAAATGTTGGTAAGGACAATAATGTTGTGTTTGTTAAGTGTGTGCCATTGTTATTCATGTAGGAGGTAATTGAAATTTTTTTGTCAAGTTTATCTTCTGACAAGAATATTAATATAATATTTTTTAAGAAAGTGTAATTATTGTTCATGCAGGACTTAATTGTTTTATTTTCTTCTAGGTATTTCTTTTGACAAAGAAGATATTGGTAAGGACATATCATGTTTGTTTACCATATGTAATTATATACATGAAGTTTAGCTTAATGTAACAATATAAATGCCACTTTGTAATTTTGACTGTCCAGTCCTGAGTCATTTATATTTTTTTTTTCAGTTTTTCCAGGTTCATAACAACTTTGTTCCCTGTTATTATGAATTAGCTATAATTATCCCAACATCTTTTGCCACTACATAAACTCTGCAGTTGATGCAGTATTTTTACATAACTTCTAACTCAAGGTGTGGGAGCACAAAACTTACATGACTTTATAGAATAACAAAATGGTCATAATAAATTCAGTAAAATGTAATTTTGAAAGTGTAAGGAGCCTCAAATCAAACCAGTAGATTCCATGATGAGGTATAATTAGACATCATGTAGAGTGGAATTGTTTGTAGTATATTGTGTATGGAATAACATTAGTCTGTCTGTGCAGATCTGATCTGTACCACAGGAAGTTATTATTTTCTCAAACGAGCATGAAATTAATGCATAATTGAGAAGACATGTCTGCATGTTTTATCTTCAGAAATGCTGAATAGATATTAGTGACATTTTGAAAATTGAAATACATTAAGAACTGAATTTTATTTTGGTCCACATTAGTATATTTTAATCACTGTGTTGTACAAAGGTTAATTTGAACTTCATGAAATTTCTCAAAATTTGCTAAATGTACAAAAATGGATATGAAATACACAGTACAGGTGTCATCAAGATCTGTACATTTTATTTAAAAATTTCTTCAGTCTGGTTGTAGATGTACTACAAGGACACTTACTTTAGTCTGTGCACTATATCTGTACTCTTGATTAGTTTTGAGCAATATAATTTATGACTATGCTGTGCAGTACAGGTGGGACTTGGTGTACGCTGCTTCAATTTATGCCCGCTTCACTTTTGCGCCTCTCATAGATCACGATTGGAGGGGGTAATGAGTCATGACTCTGCCCAACTTCCTAGACACAGATGGTCCTGACATTGTAATAAAACTGTAATACTAAATGATAAACTATGGCCTAAAATTTAAATAATTAAACAAAAACGGAATATAAAATGCGACGAGATGTGTGTCATGCCTTCAATTTAGCACCATCAACAGAGGAAAGTGAAGCTGACTCTGCAATGCCGGTTAGGACACTAACAGTGAAATCAATGCAAGAGGCTATTGCTCTTATTAATAAGGGATGTGAGATCTTCCGTAGCTACGACCCCAACTGGGAGCGGAGCTCAACCGTTAAGAGAGGAATTAAGACAGTTCTACAGCCATACTACAACTTACTATCAGAAAAGAAGAAAACCAAACAGACATCTAATCTATCATTTTTAAAGTAGTAAATTTTATTTCTTTTTCTTAAACATTATACAATTTTCAATATGTAAATTTCATAAAATAAAACATTTTTTAAGTATTACTGAAAATGAAGATATCCGTCTTCTGGGTTATTGCGCTACACAGCGCAATAACCCAGAAGACAGATATCTTCATACTCACCGCTGTGAGAACCTCAAGTCTTACATTACTGAAAATCTTGGACCAGAACCTAATGTATTTACATATGTTCCCATTATATTTTTGCCTCAATTTATGCCAGAAATCTCAGGAACCTAACCCCGGCGTAAACCGAGTCCTACCTGTATTTGTACTGTTGATTAGATTTGGATCTGTGTGGAAAGCATATGTACTCCTAATTGGAATTCATATTCTTTGTACTCACAGAATTGATGTTATAAACAACTGCAATAAGTCTTTTTAGTTTAACCATGTAAATATGTCATGATCAGTTCTTCTCTGAACGTGTTATTTTACACTTAATTTTTCTTGTTATTTCTGTAAGCCTTGAAGCAGAGCTGAAGAGTTTTTATGCTTCATTATAATGATTTGACTTGAATTTCTTTATACTGGTTTTATGTTACTAATTCTTATTTATTTCATGTTTCGTCAAAGCCCAGAAAGGAACTTATGTTTTATTTGTGTTCCAGTTGTAACAAATGAAAAAATCCTGATAAACACTGAGAATCGCCAAGAAGCAACAGGGAATCATAATACTGCACAGTTTAACCAGTTAGGGGATACACAAGACTCTCATTTTTATGCCTATTTTATGACAATGGTGGTAATATGCATCATTGGGTATTTGTTATTCCACAATAAGCAAAAGGTATGTAATTTGGAGGTTATTCATGCTTATTTGTATGGTAGATCTGGCTAGACTTCTATTTGTTAAAATGATGAGTAACATAAAGATTGAGCACCTACACATGCTTTGTGTAAGTTTGTGAGATTCTTGCAAGTAGCATTGTACATGTACTCTTAAATATGGAAATTTGCATGTAGTTTCTCTGTATTACACACCTCATTCTCCTCATTTTATTCACTAACAATATATAGCACTACAAAATACAGCGTCTGTTGATCAGAAGAGTCTCCTGTAAGATTCTAATTATATATATTTCATAAAAGTGTGGAAACTTGTACATTTCAAAATTTCTTTCCTGAGTAACTGTTTCTTATAAAAATGCAAAGTGAATGTTCGGTGCCTTTGAATATTTTATTGTATGCAGTTCTGTACAGCAAATTACAATCTCCAGTATAAATTCTGAGATTGTATTAATTGTTATTTTACAGATTCTTGCTCTGGCTTTGGAAGGCAGGTCACGAAGGGGCACTAGAAGACGTCCAAATACTTCAGGGTACAGGAAATTGGACAGTAACCTAGAAGAAGCGGTTACCTCAAAATGCAGTACTTCAGTTACACATGTTATTTACTGAATGGAACATTCTTGTTATTCTTTTAACATGGGTAATGTAGTTCTGCCAAAGTCTTTTTTGTTTGTGTTAGCACTTAAAGTGCATTTATTTCAGTTTCATCTTATTTTGTAATACAGGGTGATTCAAAAAGGACTTTACAACTTTGAAAGTGTATAGAAATTTATTCAGAAGGCTTACAGAATCGGTTGAGGTGTCATTTTGTAGCAAAACAAATCAAGTTTTACCTCAAACAGTCATTTTGGTTCGATGTGATTGCCATTGGTGATACTGCAGACATCCCACCTGAAATCAACTTCTTGCCAAACATGATCCAGCATATCTGGTGTCACTTCTGCAATTGTGGCGGTGATTCGAGCTTTGAGCTCAGTGAGATTGGCAGGTAAGGGTGGAACATACACATGATCTTTAATGAAATCCCATAAGAAAAAATCGAGAGGTGTCAAATCTGGAGAACGAGGTGGCCATGCTATCGACCCTGTTAGACCTATCCACCGACCTGGGAAATGGTTATTGAGGAAATCCCGGACTTCTGAGGTAGTGAGGTGGTGTGCCGTCTTGCTGGAAGTGAATGCGTCCTTTTTGGCCATCTTCGTCTAACTGTGGTATGAGAAAATTTTACGAGCCATTTTCAAATGCACTGCAGCTTGCGCTCGCGGTGACGGAATTCTGTACTACAGCACAACGTGAGTCAAACTTGATTTGTTTTGCTACAAAATGACACCTCAACCGATTCTGTAAGCCTTCTGAATAAATTTCTATACACTTTCAAAGTTGTAAAGTCCTTTTTGAATCACCTGGTATTATTCTGCAGAAATTTTGTGCCTCAAGCATTGTTTGCTGTTGTGACCAACAGAAATGCGCTATAAAATTACATGTTTTGTATTAATTTGTTTTTGTTTGAAGAGAATTATAACTTCTATTCTGTACTGAGAATAACCAGTTGAGTTTAGTTGTAAAATTTTAATTAAAACATTAGAGTTCTGTGCATTTGTACCTTGAGTCATTTTTAATGTCTCTTTGTAAGTAACTTTCTCCACATGATATTTTCTTTTAAATTCTTGAAGATGTACTTCTCAGAAGTTGTTTTCTCTGAGTCTCGTCTTCTTTCTCATAACACTTTGTTCTTTGAATATTGTGTTGGGGACTTGAGACATTTTAATTCCAGGCCTACCTGTGTTTCCTAAAACTTGGTTAATGTTGGACAAATTACTTACGTTGTGTATTTCTTTACATACGGATGGTTGATTATGACCATGTGGTAATTTCAGATTGACAATACACAGTTCATTTGAATAGTGAAGAACAGTTCCTTGAATCGATACTCCATATTTTGATTGTTGTATTGGTGATTTTTTTTGCACATGTAGGATTTGAGGTGTTCATGGCGGTAAGTCTGAAGATTGCTGTCTTATGTCATTGCACAACTTTGCATAGGTTTGTTATATATATATATGTGTGTGAACAGGCAGTCTGGAACTGTGTTAATGATCTACAGCAAATAATACTCTACTTGGTGAATGGATTAGTTCTTAGGTTGTCTTCAGTGTGTAGCTTGTGGTAGAACTACTTACAACTGGTACTTAATTTTGAGACCTAATATTAAATTGTTTAAATTTAATTTAATGTTGTGATATATGTGCTATAATGTTCTCAGCATATGTTATTTTTCCTTTGTCCATTTCATGAATTACCATAAGTTATTATGAAATGTATCTGTTGTGTTGTTTCCAAATATCAGCTTGTAGGGTTTGCGTAGTATAAATATGTATTTTTTATTTGCTTGTTCATAACAATTCAAGTGAGCAGAGAATGTAAATTTGCAGGTAGTAAGAGAATTTTCCTGTTAGGAGACAGGAATTTGATCAGTTGTAAGCGAGGATGACTGCAATTGTCACAATGACGTGGACTCTGTCCCTTTTTGTGAGGTTATGGGAGGAGCTGGTAGTTTGAATGTGTTTAATATTTTGAATACTAATTCCAGCTGCTAGGCATTTGTTGTAAAATAAACATTTACCTGAAGTTTTTCAGTCCACCAATTTAGTTAACAACATAGTATATTGCGATATTTGTACTTTAGTCTTAAGATTAACTGTAATCTGGCATTGCTGGTAACATGGCTAAAACATGTATGTCTCTTTTATTTTTTATTGATTTTTATTTCAGTATTCATAAATATTAACAGTATAAGGGTTGATTAACTGAATGTTTTCAGATTGTCTCGGTGGAACTAGCAAAATACCTGCAAGTTTATTTTATTATAGTTGTAGTATTGAAGTTCAGCTGCTTGTGTAAGTTCTAAATATTCAGATGTTTAGTATTTGAAGTATCTGCTACTATGTCAGTGTCATTTCACACAGGTTTTTAGTACTGAGAGATAAAATATTAATGTGTGTAATATTACATTATGACAGAATATCAACAATCTTGAATATAAGATAATTTGTTGGATACATTTGAAACTATTGCTTGAAGTACAGTGACATAGGAACTTCTATTTTTGTTCTGGTTAGTTTTGGTATTTTTGTTTTACTTAAAATTTAGAGTAGCATTTAACCTTTATCATCCATGTTTTGGTGGCTTACGTGTGATTCAGTGACTATCACGCTAGCATAGCACACACCATTAACCCCAAGTTAAAGTCCTACTGGCATAGCCATTGTACAGCGGTTTAAATTACGTGTTCCAGTATAACAATGGTTTGAAATACTAGTGGTGCTAGCTGATAGCTGGCATTTAAATAAATGCTCAGAATGCATAATATCAGAAAATAGTGTAATTATAACCAAAAAAAATGGCAGTTGTAGAAGCCTCTAGAAACATTTTAGACAGACAGTATAAGAATCTGCAAAATATGCAACATTTTAATATTATTATGTTATGGGACGACATAGTTTGCCAATGTATAACCAGCATCTGGTTAAGCAAGATGAGCTGGACCAAAATTTATAGACCCTCTTATTGTTAGCAAGGGCTCTGAATTTTAGATGAATTTCTTACATGTGTGAAAGTAGTATTGGCTGTGCTTATGTATATTTACAGGTACAGGTAGCCCTCGATTTACGATGGGGATGTGTTCATGGACGAACCGGCGTAAATTGGAACGATTTTATAATGTAAATCAATGACATGCGTTCCCAGCACCCAAATATTGACGAGTAATATAATGGAATTACATTTAAAGCCTTGAAATAACGTAAATAAAATAAAGGGAATTTAAAAAATATGTTTTATACACTTACATTCGGCGATGGCGTGATGAAGCGGCGTTAGTTCTGTGACGAAGTCCCAGGTTGAGGATCGTCATGTTTTTTAAAGAAGGCATGCAGTGTGGACTGTCGTGATTTCTTCTTTCTTTCAAAATTTCACGATAAGGCCTCATGGATGCCATAACGCTCCTCTTCGCTGTAACACAAGAGCAGACTCTCATACGCAAAAAGTTTGTATTTCACAAACAGCTTTTACCGATTCATCGATCTCATTGGAGCAAATTCGCGTTATCGAAACATACGTATTTACAGAGATGACTGTATTAATAATTTTTATTCAAAATCAGCGATGTAAGAATTACGATTTAGTATAAGAAGCAGTATGAGAAACATTGTAAAACGTTATAAATGATAGCAAAAAATATATTTTTTTTTCACTTTTTGACTTCCTGGTTTCAAAATCGACGTTATTCTGAATCGGCACAAATCGATAGCTACCTGCATAAGTATCTCTTATTTTTTACTATAGTAATCACTGTTAGGAGCTTAATGGAAGTACATATGTTGAAAAAAACGTGCATGAACACATCTAGAGGTATACATGGTCGGTTTTCAATCTGTCTTGCTGTGTACCTTGTGTGGTCACACATAATGATGACCCGGAAACAAATTATCAACGATGCCCTTGTCAAAATTGGAAAGACAACCAGAATGTGAAACATCTTGCGGTGTGATGTTTTTTAAACCATAAAGAACTGGAGCTTAAATATTGTGTTTGTTATTCATTTAATTTGGTGGTAGACAGCGAAAGGAAAATCTTATAATTAATTTCTAACAATATTTGAATTCATGATCATCATCCCAGCTATATATTGTAATGCATGAAATCATGATAGCATCACAGAATAATTTAGGCTTCATAGCGTATCTGCAACTAGAGGCTGTGCTGTAGCTTAGGCAGTTAGTTGCAGCAAAGGCCTGCATTTGTGCCCAGAGGAGTCCATGTGGAATTTATAGTGGGTAGAGTGGCAATGGGGCACTTTCTCCAAATTATTTGGT